TAATTTTTTTTTTAAATCAAATTAGCGACGAGCTGTCAGTAGTCGTTGAAATGATCGCGCATTCAATATTCCGAATGAATTGTTATGAAACCTTAATATTTTTAAGAACATTTAATTAAAAATAAATAGAGATGTTTCTATGCCTAGGCAGAGTTAACAGAATATACTACTTGCATGTATAATACTTTATTGTACAAAACCATTGAAATGTCATTGTGATTTCGTATTCAAACTACACTAACAATTAGTCTGATTTCTCTAGTACAAATAATTGTTTAGTTTCAGCTTAGGCAATTTTTATTTTAATATTCCATTAGGAACTTTAAATATAACTGGAATTTTTTTATTTGAGGTTAGGATGCTTTGAAAGTTTTTAAAGTGTTATGAAATAAAAATAAGTGACAAATCAGATTTGTCCATAGAAAGAATTATTTACGATTGACTTCTTTTGAATGCGTCACACATACTAGTGGAGCTGTGATTTGTAATTAGATATAAGCTCAAAACTTACTTGAAAAGATTTCACAACTGTCGGGCAATTGGCTTACTAAATATACCATTATGAAGGACGCAAGGTTTGGAGTTAATAAAAAAAACAAGAGTTAAAAATGAATTTCGTGTCCTAATGAAATACTATTTCAACCACCATAAATGCTGCTGATACCAAAAAGTCGCCAATAAAAAGAAAGATGACGTCCAAAAATGCTGCTATGGACTAAAACATCCAAAAAAAATTCAGAGAATGTTTTTTTTTTTGCTCGTAAAATGAAGTCAGCCGATGTAGCTGATACTCTAAAAATATCAGCTATAACTTTTTCTATTTCCAAAACTCAAGAGAACGGTCGTTGGAAGAAAAATTCCCGAGACTTAGGACTACTTTGAACCAAAATACCAATCGTGATTGGATTGGAAATTGGTTGCAAAAATTTGTAAAATCGTTATAAACGATGTATGATACTAGACAAATAGGACGAATTCACAATGAGGTTCAACTGAAGCTGTGACAATATGTTTTAACTACAACTTTCTGCGCTACTTTAGTAGTGGTACAAGCCCTCGTTCGACAAATAAAATATCTTTATTAAGGACCTGCAGTGGGTATATAAATGTCAACATTGACAAAATCCATTGAAATGGCACTTGGGTAGTTCGAAAGACAAATTTTGTCAATAGTTTCTGGGCCTATTCTTTCGATTACATGGACACAAAATCGCATTTTATAGGAAGAAAATCAAACGTTCCAGATGTAAGATATGTTTTATAAACTGGTTATACTCCAAGAAACAGATCATATATTTTATTGAATAAAGTGCAGAGCAGGACATAAACACTGACCTTTCAAAATGAGAATTAGGATTGTCGGTATATTTAGGTGGATGTCGATAGAGCTATAGTACTATTTCTAAAATTCAAAATGATGCAGTTTTTATACACTCGCAACACTAAATAAGAAAACACTTTTTACTACAAAAAAAAGTTTTTTTTGAAAGTTTTGAAATTTTTTCTGTTTTGGAAAAAAAAGATAGTTGTCTCGTAAACTGAAGTTAAGTGAAATAACTGGATTTTGTTTTTTTGTTTGAAAATAAGGTTATTCGGAAAATCTGACTTCTTGATTTCTTTTCTATTTTGCTTTTCTGCATAATGGATTATATCATTGCAAGTCGACTCGAATAGGTATTTAAAATTTGTTAGATAAATTTTTGGCTCAAACTTTTGGAAAGCATTCACTGATGACTTACACAAAAAGTTAGCAGATCTCCTATACTAAATGGTTTAATTGACAAAAAAGAAAGTGATTCAAAAATTAGTATAGACCTGCCTTCTGCATCTAGATTTATACGGAAAGCCTCGCTCTAACTTGTTTCTGCAAATTATTGCGTCTTATTGCCTTTATTAATATTGTCAATAAGCTAAAACGACTTGTAACAGCAAAGTCTCATACAAAATTTTATAAAAATTTGACTACGAACCTAAAACTAAAGTATTGAGTGGTAACGGTATAATTTTGAATACACCAAGATACCACAAATTCCGACCAAAGTGCAGCAGTGACTGCTACAGTTTCATAAATTCAACTTAATAAGAGTACATACTCTTACTTATAGGAATAAAGAAATTTAAAAATAAAAAATATATTAAAAAAAAAACTAGTAATTTCAAAATACACACAAAATGGTATATTTAGACATATTTACATACATAATCTATATGTATACATAGTACATTGAAAGAGCATAATTTAAACTAATTAATGTGGTGGCAACGTTCTATGCATGCGCCTATAGTGTTCGTTCAATTTGAAATTGTGATGAAAGCCACGCCCACAAATGTAACAACTGAACCGTTTTGGCTGATTGCATTCGATAGTCAAATGACGCTTTAATGTGAAGTTACTCTGATAGACACGGCCACAATTTAAGCACGTAAACGGACATTTCAAACGGCTATTTGCCGGGTTAGCTGAGTTACCAGTTGCAGCGGCAGCGGCAGCAGCAGAAACAGCTCTGTTTATATAACATGGAAAGAGTGGGGGGAAAGGAAAAGAAAAGCGCATTATTCGTTTGAGAATTGAGAATGATATTTCAGCGAAAGAAGTAACGGGACGTTTTATTATTTACCTCTGCGCTCTAATGGAGGTGCCTAATTCCGGTTGGTTAGCAAAGCTCTTCCTCTTCACAGATCTTTTAGCTCTTCTCGACTTCGTACGTCTAACATTTGACTCACGCAATTCTGCAGAAGAAAGAAGAGAGAAAGAGCGCAGATGTTGGTCATATTCATTTTTTCAATGTGTTATATTTTCAAACTGCCCTTTCAAAACGGCGCAAATAGATAGGGGGCGGAAAGGCAAATATAGGCTATTTTCCATGAAATTTTTTCAACTTCAAGTTTCTTTGTAAACAATAAAAAAAAAGTTGTTTAGCCTTTTTTTACCAAAAGTTTACTGTGTAGAAGTTTCGCAAAAAGTTTTAGAAAAAAACAAGCAAAAAAGAATTTTGAATTTAACATGCTCAAAAGCTACTTTCAACCGTTATTGAGCTTTCATTTAACTAACACTGGGCTAACTAGTAGTGTAGATTAGAAAGGTAATACATATACATTTATAATGAAAAAAATCTAAGAGCTTGCTGCTGCACACTTCCACCGTATTAAATAAATACAACTCCTTAACGAAAAATATATACATATATATGTATGTATATAAAAATAAATATTAGATAAATAATGCTTGACTTATAAGACAAAAGAAAAATTAATTTTTTTTTTTCAAAATTTTAGCAAAGACTGCACACGACGAAAAACATTATTTTTGTTGTAAAGCACATGTGTATGTATGTGTATAGGTTTTTACAGATATATAATCATAAACAAAATGGGAAATAAAAGAAAATATTTCAACAAATCGCGAAAATCACTTATATATTATAGGTTATGTGGAATATGATACAAAATTTGGCACGTTGTTGCTGTTGTAAAAGTGTAAAACATACAAACAAAAAAAAAGTCTTAGGTTATGAAACTGGACGCCACAGTACCAAATGGAACCAAATTACGGTGCATTAAGATTACTGGCACCCGAAATGAGAAAAATTTAGCCTGATATAATTTATTTTTGGTCTTAAGTTACAAAAAATGTATTGTTTTAGGTTATGGCACTGGACTTCAGAGTACCTAATCGAATACAAATAAAGGTGCATTAGTGTTACTCAGACCCGAACTGGTCGAAAATTGAGTCTTACACAATTTATTTGTGGTCTGAATGTCTGAAAATACAACAGTTACAAGCGGCTGTTGTTGTTCTAGCGCCAAACAGTGTTCTCTGAATAATTTTTTGGCCCTGTTGCCGAGTTGACAGTCCTTGGTCGCAAAACAATTCGGCTCCGGTCGGGTTAGGAGAACTCTGCGACCTTATTACCAGTATTTGCATACCGTTAAATGCATCATTTTGGTTATCACACCAAACGTCAGCTACTACAGGCAAGTTTGTCACCGCAAATTATGCGCTGGATTTGTCACTGAAACTCTTTTGCATTACTCAATTACCAAAAAATCGCATGTATGTGTCAATTTTGAAACATATAACTGCATATAGTTGTCTACACAAGTATATAGTATGAGTAAATGTCTGCAATAGAAATACCGTTAAACAAGTGTTGCTGTATTGTATGCGCTACCAGCGCATAGCCAATTCAAGATTTGTCAATAAAAGAGAACTAGATGTTTCAAGCGAAGAGCTTAGAGTCGATTAAACATTGCTTGTGTGTAGTGTGGAGTGGAGAGCGGAGGGGAGACTAAGCACGGCGCATTTTAAGCAATTTTTCAACAAACCATGACCTTGAACTTGGCCGTCTTTAAACTTGTTTCGAACACATTTTATGCATGTGCACAAACATACATCGAAAAAACAAAAAATAAAAATGAACAACAACAACAAAAGCACTTGAATATTAAGCAACGTTCTCTATGCGTCCGTAGATAAATTAAAATTCGAAAACAATACAAGAGATACTCGAATGACGCAGACAATGAAAAGATATGGTAGATGGCTAGATAGACAGACAACAGTGTGTGGAACATTTTGAATCCATATGATTTTCGGCCGGTTCTAACTAATGCATACGTACATACATACATACATACATATGTATGTATGTTGTGTGTACGAGTATATAGCCTGGCTTAACCAGTTATACCAATCAAATATTAACTTCCAACTTAAATTTCTCCAAATATGTACACATACTTATGCATATATGTTTGTATGTGTCTAAAACACTGTTAAATACTACTTAGAACGAAAAAGGAAAACGGGTTTTGAAATTCACTTCAAGTCATCAGCATTCCCTTCACAACACATCCTTTAGTTTTACATACCTACATATGCATGTATATATACATACACATATATGCTTTTTAAGCTGACTTATATTAAATATTTTTGATATTACTTATAAGTAAAGGATCTACATTTAATAATAACAAAATAAATATAAGCTACTTACACATTATGTTGAGTACATGACGATTCTTCGCCACAACACCGGCGTCGTGTCGCACAGTCACATTTCACAACCAGTCATGTAGTTTTTGACAGCGTTGCAATTATATATGCAACTCTCTCGTTCCTAAATGCTGCTTTAATTTTGGTTTTTGTAACGACGCAGAATTCGTAAACAACATTTTTCAAATATAATGGACACATATGTTTAGTGACCACCCCCCGCACAGAAATTAAGGTAATGCAGTAATTTCTACAATTGATTTATGTGCTACATGCATATGTAAGATAACGCGGCTGTATTTTCAAAAATAATCTATTTTTAAATTTGCTGCAGCGGGTATAGAAAAATATCTCTGTGCTTGTATAAAAGAAAATAGACAGCTTTTTAGGTGATAATATACACGGTACAGCGCAGTTTATCAATTTTGTTTATAAACTGATCGGTCTTATGCCTAATTTCAATATCAAAAAAAAAAAGTTTTTCAAAAATCTAAATTAATTACCGACATTTTTAATGTGCATATTCCATTATCTGCATAGGAACGCAACCGAAATTAATTGATGCTCATACTTTAAATGTTCTAAAACATTTTAAAATTTTCGAAAATTTCGGTAATGTGTTTATATTACTAAACTTAAAAAGTTGCTATAAAATTCGAATATTTACTAATGAATAATAGCTATTGGTTTCTAAACACAAAAAATTTTCATTTATTCCAAATTTCGAATATGAGCAGGGTTTTACTTATCGAATTTAATCGAAATAGAGCATAGATGTCCAATATTACAGCTGATCGTCATAACTTCGGTACAACATAGGGTTTTTAAGATTTACTAACTATCCCATAAACATTTTGCATTTTCGACCATTTAAAGTGAAATTCCCACTCGAGAGATATCTACTTCGCACTGCAATCTTAAATGTTGTGGTAAACTATGTCAGGTTATGAAACAAAAACATACCACATACCGTAACAGTTGAGGAACCTTTAATTCAACCAATCCAAATGTCGATAATGAGGCTTACAAGCGGGAGAGAAAATTCGTCGAAGGCAATTCGAATTTTACAACCCAAACGACATTTTTTTCATGTCTGTAAACTTAAATGTTATAACTTCACCGTTAAAGTGAAACGGCAACGCTTATTTGTTACTTAAAATATGTATATAACTGGCAACATTTAAATGAACGGTGAAATATAAGTATGTTTGTATGTATGAATGTATAAAAATAGGGAATATAATGTAGAAGGGAAGGTAGCAAGGATTACAGGAACTTGTAAATGGAATACAAGGAATTATATATAAGTATATATGTATGTATGTATGTATATTCTGGTGTTTCAAATACAGACAGTGTGAGACAGGATGCATTAGCATAATAATGAAATTTTAATATACATTAATATTCCATTGAAATGTGCACCTTGTCCAACCGATACCGTTGAACAAAGAATACTCACCTGATTCGGCGACAGCTTGCTTGTTTGTGATGTTGTTGACGATGACGATGGCAATGATGTTGACGATGTGGCATGAAACGCACAGTACCTCGCTGCTGCACGCTTTACGCATGCTCACAGCTACATGTTTCAGCCAACCGCTACGGCAGACAGGCGACGAGTCCAACAAAACAGCCAGCAAAATTATGCAAGTAACAGAACTTCCAATTTTATTACGCACACATATCAACACTTAGTAGCACTTGTTTGTTTTTGCACTTTCAACACCGTTAAACAAAACTTTAAAAATTTACACGACTTTCTGACGCGGAAAGTCGTGTAATTAAAAAGAAAGAAACCGCGAACAAATGCACGAACTTACCGAACCGAAAATGGTAACGAATATTTGGCAGCACTGTGTCATGTAATAGGCACGAGCACAGCACCCACCAACGCCCGTTCCCTAATATTTTAGCGCATACTTTGCTTAAATTGCCACTTAAAATAATATTTTTAATAAAAACCAAAAATAAAACTAAACATTTGAGTCCCGTCAACCAACGAAAATAAAAACTATATAACTTAAATACAAAAATGTTAAAATAAATAAATTAAAAGGTATAACACTTTGTATTTGTGGCAAGGCTTACGCCATAACTAAGCTTATGTATGGTATATGCACAGGAAGAGTTAGCATGCATCCGCCTGCGCACGTACACAACGCCATAAACACGTGTGTGGGAGTGTTTGTGTTTGTGTGTTGATACAATTCACACACGTTACTGCTTATTTACATACATTAAAACATAAGAAACAAAGGCTATTAATTGCCATAAAAAGAAGCTTCGATTCTTACAAATGAAGCCTGTACTTCAAACAACAATAACTCAATCTTCACCCAAAAGAAAATTTCCAAAAAAAATATATATATATGTGGTGATAATGTCAGCTTAGTTACCAGCTAATCAAACGTTTTGTGTTAATACAACAAAAAATTTTACGATGATATATGAAAAGCGACGAAATGAGTTTTTGAGTATGACATTATGAATGCAAGCGATTTACATTTATGTATAGGGGACGTCAGCACGGAGAGTATATAGTATGTATTACTTAAAATTTATGTCTATAAAATTAATAAAGTAATAAAAAAAAAAAAAAATTTCTTTACTGCGCGCGCACGACGGACAGACTGAGTTGACTAATAGTTATATATGTATGTATGTATCATAAATACATAAAGCATATAATAAATCTCAATGAGTATAAGAATTTCGATACATATGTATGTATGTATGTATGAAGTGAAAAATGTGGCAAAACTACTTGCATCCAAGCTGGAATTCAGAACAAAAAAAAAACTAATACTCGGCTAAAGCGCTTCGTTAAGCGGCAAATGTACATATTTAGTAAATGATTCCGAAAAAATATATAAATAATAATAGTAACATATATATTATAAGTAAATAGCTTAAGAGCATATTTGTTCAAATATTATATAAATTATAAAACAAAACAAATTCTACACCAGCACCAAAGTCAACAACTGAAAAACTACTATACATAAACGATATTAGTACAATAAACGAACACAAATTAGCATAAATATGTATATATGTAAGTTTGTCAAACAAAATGAAATCAGAAGAACTATAGTAAAAATAAATGTTGTTGTAAAGTGTGTGTAAGTAAGTAAGTAAGTAAGTAAACACAGTTGTGTGGTGTTAAAGAACAATAACAAGTACAATACTTTAAAACTTGCATACATAGTTAATACAAAAAAAATTATTTAACAAAACTAACTAAACAAAGAAAGAGAAAGACAGTGGAAGTGGGCTGCGTTGCATAGCTGTTGCTATTCACATTAAATTTTAACTAAATAAACATACATATATGTATGTGTGTTCAAATATATGTTGTATATGTATATATGTAGCACACTTTTTTTTTAGTTAATGTAAGTACTAAATTTTAAACTCATTATGTATATTTAGCAGCACCACTCTTCCCTTCTTCGCATCTTACATGCTGCTCTATGTATTTTTAAGTATAATCAAAATTAATTTGCTTGTTTTTAATTCTTTTCTAACGCAAACTTTTCGTAAATTTCGTTGTTATATGTATCTACTAGGTTTTTAGAATTTACTGACACTGTGACACAGCAATAGCAGCTTCTTTGAGCACGACTAATAAACTTTGTAACTCCTAATTTTATATATTTTTATTCATTTAAACTACGAAATCAAATAAATTATATGGTATAAGTACATATGTGCATGTACATACATAGCAAAATGTAAAGAAAAATTGATAAAAACTCAAAAAAAAAAACTAAAGCAAAAAAAAAAATTTAAACAGATATGTAAACTTTCACTTTTCACTAGTTGCCCATTTTTCCGATATACACTAATTGCTATTGTTTGTGGATGTTAAATTTTCATGTTGCATCCATTTTCTCATTAATATTTTGCAACTAATAGTGTTTGTAAAAAAATATTGTTCATTCAATCTTTGGCATTTTATCTGTCGTGCTCTTTTTAGCTTTCTTTGCTTTTTTCATATATGCTTTGCTTTGATTTATTACACTAGCTCACCTTGTGGATCCCGTTGCTGTGCTTCTTGTGGCGCCAATAATAACTCGTCCTGAGATCTGTCATGTTGCCACGGTGCATATCCTTTAAACAAGAAAAACACAAAAACCAATTATTGACAAATAAATGTATAATTTACAAATCTACAAAATTGCTAAATTGCATTCAATAATTTTTGTAGTTCATATAAATTTGACATTGTCTCACCTTGACTCGATCCTTCACCAGCTTGACTTGTACCGGCATTTTGATCTAAATCGTCCATACCCATTTCCTCATCGTCTAATGTTAAATCTTCAACGGTTTCCTCATTGCCTTCTTCTTCATATTCACTTTTCGGTTCGATTACCATTTCGGCAGTTTCTTTACCAGCAACACCAGCTGCCGATGACTTTTGTTTGTGATTGGACTTTTCACCCTTAAGATGTTCAACATTTTGTTCGTCCCCGGTACCAACTACACCCACTGTTGGTATATTATCTGAATTCATGGCATCGCTTGCTCCCTTAACGCTTTCAGTCTTTTTGGTAATGTTTGTGGTCATTTGCTGAGTAGTGCCTTGTGTGCTAACTATGGAACCAGTTGCTGCTAAAACACCACTTGAACCGGTCGATAGTGCGGATGCCGAAACTGGAAGTGAAGAGGTGGCTGCCGCTAAGGCCCCAACCCCAGTTAGACTTGCATTGGTTTGTGGTTGTTGTTGTGGCTGAAGTGACGATTGATTGATTTGAGAAGAGTTGGAATTGTCATGAACGTCTGCTGCAAACATAGGAAATATTCGAATTAATTCACGTTGCTTAAAGTTGTAAATGAATTTATTTGGTTTTTAAATTCGCCCCGAAATAAATTTTAAGAACTCTCAACAAACACGTTACAACTTTAAAACCGTTTGTTGTTGTACAGTTTTTTGGAAATTTCGAGGTTATAAAAACCGATATATTATTAAAATTTTATTTTTAAGTAACTTACCGGACATAGCATTTTCGACGCTCCTGCGTCTAACTTTCCTTCGACGTCTAGATGGACTAGATGAGCCCTCGCGGGATCCTGATATATCGGCAGTCTCCATGGGGGATGGTCCAACGCGAGGACGTTTCGACTGCGTCTGCTCGAGTGTATAACCACTCAATTTACCACCACCACCGATATTACTACCACTTCCAGGTACATTTAAACCACGGTGTTGTTCTGTTTTCGGCGTACTACCACTGCGGTTGTCTGACAGACCTTTGATTTGCAGTGATTCCGCGGCTTTTAGCAATGCAGCTAACTGATCCTGTGAAATATTCACTTCCCCACGATACATATAGTCCATCATGGCACGCAATTCTTGGTATTTGACATCCTTCAATATGAATATTGGATGTTTATCATACTGCTGTTGCAGTAAAGTCTAAAAATATAAAAAAAAGAGAAAAAAAACATTAATCAATTGCAAATTGCAATGTTCTAAGGTATGTATATATACTTACGGCAAAAAATGGACTGCAGGCAGACAGCACCACTTTATGGGCTTTAAGGAATTTTCCCTCAGCGGCTAATGTGCAGTCGACGAGTGTTTGATTTTCTAACAGAGTGTCGAATACGCTTATTAGCGTGCTCTGGTGGTTGTTCCACCGAAGACAAAACTGCTGATCGTCCTCCATGGCGCCAACTGACAGCGATGGTCCCACGAGGATGTAGTTATGACGCCAATGTTAAAAGCAGTATTGTTTGATGATGGGCAATTTATGGTGAAAAATTATATGGGGAAACCAATCCCGCAGCAGATTATAATTTTGGAGTTTTCAGTGTTTTCAATTTTCTATTTTTGTAGACGTTGAATGAATGAAGTTTAAGTGTAGTACCAAAATGTTATAACTAGAGAATTTCTTCACAATATTGAAACTGCAACTGTAAATGTAACTGAAAAAAAAAGATAATATATTAAAATATTATTTTTTATGCATATTATATAAGATTATTTAAAATTTATATATGTATGTACATATATATAGTGTATACACTTAACTACACTAAATCATTCTGTGAAACAGTTGAGTAAATAAATCTGGCCCTTAATATAGGTATAGCACATGAAGTAAGTTAGAAATAATTTTTCCATTAGAACACGAATTGCACATATTTAGTTTAATAAATATTCGTCTACCCTACAACTTCAATTTTATATTGGAATATCACACTTATTTGAAATCAAGAAAAGTTTGATTGCATTGAAGTCTACACAAAAAAAGTTTCCATACAAGGACTTGATTTTGATTGGTCTATAGTGGTCCGATATGAACATTTTTGCTGTTAATGTGCTTTTGCATCGTTCATAAGCCCAAAAATTTACGGACTAGTTCGAGTATAGTATACAAACGGACATGCCTAAATGGACTCTTAATAAACATATATACTTTATATGGTCCCCGATGGAATATGACTTAACGAAATATTTTGTTGTTCTTCAATATTTAGAAGTACAGCTGATCATGTTGATAAAGTTATAGTTGAATTAAAGCTTCAGTGAAATCCAAGGGAGCTCAACAATTTTTTGTCTCATATACATACTTATATCATATGTGCATATGCTGGCTTGTCTACCTACCTAACAAGATTATTTATACAGAGCTTTTAAAACCAAACATTTACTAAAAAACCAGAAATTCTAAACAATTACATCCAGTTTGTTCTTTAATAACGATGTTGTATGCTTGTATAGATCGATTTTAAACTGAATGTACTACATTTTCTAGTAATGTTCAACACAATTATTGTCTACAAACATTTGTATATACATATATCGAAGTAAACTTTATGTTTGTTTTATCTTGTTTTAATATTCATCAAAAATGTATCTGCAAGTAGCGCAGCATGTGACTTTCTAACACAAGGCAATTTTCTCTCATTAATGTAAGCTAGCCCAAAGTTGCCAGGGTTCACACCAACACAAAATTGTAAACGAAATTCTTCAATATTTTTGTTTAAATAATACATCATTTGTTGTTAAAAGTATACATTCACACAGTTTTTTTGTTTGTTATACGAGAATCTTGGCAACAGATATGTATGTAAACTTGCTTTGCATTAGCGTATACAACAGCAAAATATATAACTTCTGGACACGAATACATTTATATGTACACGTACTTATCTACCATCAGCACTTTTAGTCACTATGAGTTCATTCTTTACTGTATCGATTGAAATGCACTTTCTCTACGAATAGTTGAGGAATATATGCTAAATATATCAAAAATAGAAGCAACTCAAACGAAATGTACAATCTTCAAAGGACAAACTTATGATTAGCAGCCAAACAGCCGAGTCAGTTAGCTAGTATGTATAACACAATAACATGTTGTGAGAACAGTAGAAGAAAAATTCGAACAAAATGGAAGCACCGTTAATATGAATGTGGGGATAAATTACTACTACCACCGTTAACAGCTCAAATGCGACCAGTACAACAACAAATAGCATAGATTAAACAACCAACATGTCTCGACTTCGTTTTGCTGTCACCACCGCGCAAAATTATTGTTCGGCTTCCCGCCCGATGTTCGATTTCGTAGCTAGCGTACAGTTTGCGCTCGTTACTTTTCCTCCCCAACAGTGTTGCCACTGCAACTTTTTATTCTCTTCATTAATCAATTTTGCCTCTGCTTTGCCAATAACGCCCGTTATTCTGCACTTTCTTTTCCTCGAGGAAATTCACTAACCAACGAATTTTTAACCACTACTGTAGTGTCAGAAAGTCTCTATAGACACACATATGTGCATATGTACTTCAAAATTTCAGCATCATACAAAGTTCTTTTTCATTTGCAGTTTTTTCAATATATTTTTGTAATTATTTTTCATAAATATGTATATATATATATATATATATATATTTAGTGAAATAATCCATCAATTTCCAGAGAAAAAACACCTTCAGAATACCAAGCAGCAAAACTGTTATGCTGACGCACGTATACACACACATATTAATTAGTTGGCATAATTTCACTTGATTTTCTTTAACACTCCACGTTGTACTTTTCGATATTGTACTCATATACACACATGTATACATACTTATGATTATTTTTATACGAAGATGTAAAGTATTTCTTCAAATACAAATATTTTTATCAACACATATTTCCTTATCAAAAAACCAAAGCACACACACACTACATATGTATGTATCTATGTAGAACATATAAATGTTAAAATAACTCACATTTTCCAGACTTCAACTTTCTTTTTCACCAAAACAACCGCGAAAAATTAAGCAGACACAAACAAAAGCTCCAACAGCCTAAACTCAACTGGCGCATCACGAACGACAATCCACAAACGAGAGGTAAACAGGCCAGCCAGCAATACAGCAATAGCAATAGCCGACGCCATATAATATAATAACGAGTTTGCCGCCGTCCCTCAATTTCTCAGCTTTACGTGCGAAACATATTAAGGGAAATCATAGATTCTCTCTCCTACTGAAGCAGCATACTCAGGTACGTAATATGAACACGATCACGAACGAGGGAAGAAATGGAGTAAGGGGAAATTTCGTTTCGTTCTCTACACTTGCATACATCTTTATTATATTCAGGTACACAATTATTTACTAACTACTCTATCTACATGTAAATTATATATATATTCTATGTATGTTTGTATGTTACCCTCCGGTTGCTAACTGCTGCACAACTCTGCGTATATTTTATGTAGAAATGTAAAAACAAAAAACATACATACATGCATGTATATATGTATAAATATATGCAAACATATTATTGCTGGTGGAATTGAAACAGAAGTGAACACGAAGAGAATTAAAAAGAAAATCATGAATTTTCGCCAAGGTTGCCAGCATACATGGAAAGCTGAAAATCTTTAAGTAGCTTAGCTAATATCGAAATGCTCGCATTAAAGCGAACAACATAAGACCGATTATCTTTTTGGAAAATGAAATGTTAACAAATAAAAATAAAAATTTCTCAAACATGGATCACGATAACCGCATTTCCTTTTCTTTTTACTTATTCGAAAAAGTTTAAGAGTTTCCTATACGAATCGGTGGATTTATCATTTTTAGGAAAAGACTAAAGTATTAATTGATTTAGCTTTATATTTATATTAACAAGTTTCATAAAATTTACTTTCTTGACTTTTTTTAATATTATATTATATATGATCAAAGCGGACATAGAAGTCAATGATCGTATTGTAGTTTGTAAGGCAAAGTCATTCATACTTGTGTACATCCGAAACAAAAGGGGGTTTCTCAAATTTTCTCTACACATGCGAAAGTCAAACTTCAATTTTTAAAGCTTTCCATTTTAATTACAAATTCTTCTTAAAGAAGGATCGTTAATATTGCCATATGCAAAAAAATACTCAATCTGGCCACTTACACAAATTTTGATGGGAAAATACCGAAACTGCTGAAAATGAAACGACAGTAACGAACTAGTTGGGGTTTTTATTGGAGAACACGAAAAGTCTTTCAAGTTCTCTGCTTTTAGGTATGCTATCGCCATCAATGAAGCATATGTACATACATACAAAATGTCGCGAGGTTCAACTCTCCAGCCTTCATCGTCCCTTTTTATGCTTCAAATTTATTTTAAAATATCAACCCACTAACAATTACAACAACTACACAATTGTGTATACGAAAAATGGACGGATATGTGTGTGTAATCATATGAGCTATATTTTGTTGCCTTAATATTCTCTTCCATACCCCTACTTTATTACATTTTCCCCTCTTGTCGTGCGGACTTCTAAATTCTCTCCCCATGCTATCATTTTCACATACAAACACATTTACAAATTTAAGCACCCTTGCAGTCATTTTCGTTTTGAAAACATGCATACATAGTTGTATCTATATATAAACGTATCTACATATACATATATATATGTATGCCTACCAAACGTCGATCAATATAAAGAGCCGTCGTTATGCTTGCACATGCTCGTGCTTACATCGATGTATGTTTGTATTTATGTGTACATGGGGATCTTTAAAAGAAGCCTTAATTCACCCTGAAGTTCTGCGAGAATTTCGCGAGACTAGGGTAGTTTTCAAACCGTGGGTACATGTACATATATTATTTACGTACATATGTATATGATGTACAAACACATGTATGTTATTTATGTAATTACCATTTACGACCGGATAAAAAAAAATTGCCACGTACGTGGAAAGTTCGTCAAGGCTACGCATAGACAGACCTCTGACGTTGACACCGCTGGTGAGTGCATGCAGTTCCTTTTGAAAAACATTTAAATGAGTTTCAATAAATTTGTGAGATTGCACTGGAGAGTGTGAAAAGCGCTGCAACGTGAATGCGTGTACATATGTATAGATGCAAATATACATATATGTACATATGTCTCAGAGATACTCGTAGTAGATACTTGCACTTATGAGAGATCAACTAAGCAATTTAGTTTTTGTCTCCCTTCAAACATTTTTAACTCTCGTATAGAAAAGTTAAAGAAAATGCTAAAAGGGGAATGCTTTATACATGCATACATGCATTTGCGTACTCATGTTTGTATGAATAAATGTCATTTGATATCTACATATCATTCAAATTTATTATGGCATCACTGAAACCTTTAAAATTTACGAAGTTCCATAAACGTTTAATGTTTTTATCAGATGTCCATTTACGAATGTACATATTTACATAAGTATGTATGTACGTACATATGGTATATTTATACTCTGAACAGGGTATATTAAGTTTGCCACCAAGTTTGTAACACCCTGAACGAAACGTCGGAGACTTTATAAAAATATCTGTATGTACTTAGGAGTATAAATGATCAGCCTGATGAATTGAGTCGATTTAGCCCTATATACGCGAAGTAGTCCCTTAGTTTATGAGATATCGATCTGAAATTTTGCACACGTTCTTTTCTCATCAAGAAGCTGCTCATTTGTCGGAACCGTCGATAACGGTCCACTATAGCATATAGCTGCCATACAAACTGAACGATCAAAATCATGTCCTTGTGTGGAAAACGTTTTTATTTGACGAGATATCTTTATGAAATCATAAAATCTCCGTAGAAATTGTTTAGATCTGATAACAGGGGTAATAAAATTGTGAATGCAACAGCTGATTGACTTGTCACATGATTGTATTGTCGTGATTATATTGAAATATTCTAAGCATAAATAAATTATAGCAAACATTTTATAGAAAAGCACTTGTACAATATATAGCGTACAAAATTGGGCAAATTTAAATATCTCAAACTCAGACTTTAATGCTTACTGAGTTTGACATACATATGTATGTACATAAGATACTATATAATGAAAATATGGAGACATGAACCAGCGATTGAACGTGACCTTTGAGTGTGTATACATATGTAAGTACTGTCCCAACAAAGGTCACATCTCCGTTAGTCTGGAGAAATTGTTTTTCTGCATGGAGCAAACAAAAGTAATACGTTGGTACCTGAAAAAATTTAACTACCTAGGATCGCGATTTCAATGTACACATGGACATATTAAGATATTTAGATATGTGTGCGCATATTTGCCCTCCAAATATGTATATGATTCATTTGACCATGAGTGTAGACAATGACTTTCAACAAAGATCGTTTCTCAAATGCTTTACCAAGTATTTTTCTATTTACAAGGTCAAATATTAAGATATTAGTTCAACAATTATCGACTTAGTAAAAAGGTTGGCTAAAAAAAAGTTTATTAATAAAATTATGAAGAGTTATAGATATGTACATTTCAGGAGCAAATAGATTTTGGATACAAGGCCATTTATGAATATAATTGCCAACATATATGTATGTACAAACATAGGTACGTATTATATGCATATTTTTAAAAAATACTACTTTATTCATTAAATTTAATTAAATTATTAATCAAAAAATCAGTTTGATTTCGGTTATTTTCCAGATATTTTAGTATAATTCAGGTGTCTTTCAATACCCTCCTTCATAACATCAATTGAAAATATACTAATAATTAAGATTTAAGCTTTTTTCGCCTTCAAACATTTTTCATAAATAATTTTTTAGGCTTGTGTTCAAAAGATTCGGCAGTGCCTGCCAAAGATGAAAATTAAGTTTTGAATTTAGCCGAGTTGATTATATAATTCCAAAGACACATATTTTTCAAAGATTTTGTGAAAATTTCAAATGAAAATATTCAAAACTCGGTCATTACGATGTCATTTCCGGCAGTCCCTCGAAAAAAAGGTGCTTTTGCGTTGTCAGCCGAATTTCCGACAGGATCATTAAAAGGAAAAAAAAATATGTGTTTGAACTAAGACCATTAACTTGGTATTGGGATGAGAAAAAACAAACAAAGTGAAAATAAAGCGGCAGCCGTTTTTAGAAAACATGCAAATTTTGATGAAAATTTCTCGACGTTTTTTTTATTTAAATAGTTGTGATTGAACAAAAAAAATCCTCCACGGCAAGATCTTGTTAATTATATCTCAAAGACCTCTGTCAAAAAAAGCTTTTCAAAGCTGTACCTCCAACATTTAGGACAATATTCTAGAAACATAGAATTAAATATGACAATAAAATTTTTTCTTGAAGCCGTAAAACATATGTGACCTTAATATAATATATGCAATGATTTGGTAGTTACACTTTCATTCGATAATCAATGACGCTCAATGGTAAACATAATTGTACATATTTATATACAAAAATATTTAAAATGCTTGTAAATAAATTAATTAGATTTGGAAATAAATATTCAAATTATGCATTGATCACTCATAAGCATGAAATCGATTTTTCCTAGATATTTCATGTTAATTTGTACACTTGACAGCACATAAAATAAACATACGCGTATACATACATTTACACCGAAAATAACACTGCAATATGCACGCACTTAATTATGATCCTATAATTGCGCAAATTTTCAACTGGAAAAAGCTTCACATACACATAATTGACCACAAATGCATGTACTATATACAAATGTACATACATATGTATGTATATGTAGTTTGTAATATAAACATAAAAGAATTACAATAAATTTGCATAAAGTTATATTTTCAAAGTTACATTTTCATTTATGAATGTACAAGCATAGCTTTGTGGGTTATTTGACAATGACAGTGTACATTCACCACATACATAGTACAGACATACAAACAGACTCGCAATGATGAAAATGGTACGCGGAAAAATCAAAATGGCTGCCGTCGCACCGGTGGCAGACAATTTACAAATGGCTGCCATTTCCATTGTTTGTCTCCGCCACTGGCCGAATTTCAACAAAAAAACAAAAGCAAAAAAAATTAAGGTCTCTCGCCAATTTCCCCGTATTTCTTATTAACTTCTATTTTAAGATCAGATTTACGAAGTGAAACTTTAAGAAGTTTCCTCTTCGCGTTTATTGAGCAAGGAGACAGCAGCGCACAGTCAGTTCATTGTATGCATGTGTGCATATATGTATGTATATGTATGCGCTTATATGTGTGTTTGTTATATGCATATGTATGTGTATCTGCACACACAACCCAAGTGCAGTCGTCAAAACGTGCACTTATGTAACGATGATTTGAAAGCGTTTCGATCATTAAGAAACGTTTACAATTTCAACTAATTAACTTGTTTCCCAAACACACAAGCACCAAAAACAAGTGGTTTTTTTCTAAATAAATTAGTAGCACTGGTTGGACTACTGCATGAAAAGGAGAGCAAAAAAAAAACAAAAACAAAAAACATTTAAGAATGTCACACTTCAATGTTTGCACTGCATTTACAAGTTTACACACAGAAATACATACATACATACATAAATATGCACATGCGTTCTGTTATCCATGAGAAATACTGTTTTATTGTGGGATTCACTCGTTGTCGTTGCGCTGCTCCATGCATTCGCTGGCGTTGTTCGTCAATAAGTCACAAACTTACGAAAGTACATATACACATATGAGTGTATGAATGTTTGTTAAATATTTATGCAGAATGCACATATTTTATCATGTTGTTGCTGTTTTACTTTTTTTCATGCATGCTTGCACATACATACGTACATATATTTGTGGAAATACACTGTTTAAGTTCT